AAACGCCAGGAAGTGTTGTTCAGCTATCTCAACATGACTGAGTATTAACAGTGCAAATAAATCATTCCAAACGAGGATCGAACCCAGATCCTTATAGGCAGAACGCGATCCATGGCAGCTGATTATGCTATATTCCAGTCCACCTGTACACGACATGGTATAAAGCAATTTTGTGAGCTTGTTGCACGGGCATCACATCTTCCGTATTTCAGTAATAACTTCCATGACTGTGAATCGTTTGGAAACATTCCAACATTTTCACTTGTTATAAGTTACATTAAATCGGTACGCCATACAATAAACGCAAATAGTACACTACTCTCATAATGAGTTGTATATGAATGACTGAACAAATTTCCCATAAGCACACGACCGGGTTCACGATCCTTGTTGCTCATCAGGTATGCATATCCGCTAATCTTTTGCATAGTTTTTCTTTTACCTGAACTCATGATGTGAACTAGGCAACACATATCTGATTTGTACCGAGGTAAGTTCATTCGAGATGAAAAAATTTCGAAAAATCATATGTCTAATCTCAGCCAACTCAAGGTCAGTATTTTCATAGTGAATCAACTCCTGAGCTGCAAATCAGATTTGTGTCGCCCAATTCACATCAAGAGTTCAAGTATAGGAATGACCAGATGAAAAATTAACGGACACTCATACCTGCCGAGCGGCAAGGACCACGAAATTGGTCGTCTGCTTCTGGGAAATTTTGCCCAGTCACTCGTAGTCCACTCGTTATAAAAACACTGTAAATCGGCCCTAGCGCCAATTCGGCTGAGATTAGACGCATGTAACCCATAAGACTCAATACAGAATCATCACAATGATTGTTCGAGGCGTGTTCCTCTCGAGTGAACTTCCCAACCTACAAATCAGATTTGCGTTACCTAACACTTTCCCATCTATGAGCTCGTAGAAGACGAAGTGCACCTACTGATTTATAGCAAAATCTGTAGTCCGGAAAAATTCAAGGAATTTTTATCAAACTGCTACAACAAACAGAAAGAAACGTTTATCTTTGTAGAATGAGTTGACTTCGCCTGGGAGATACTCATAAGTCTACTACTTCTTCCCTACTTTGAGTGTGATATGAAATTCCGGTCATATACATTACAGTTGGAGCAAACTACATCATCAAAGTGCCAAAAAACGGAATTTGTCACCATTTGTCATCTTAAAGTACATTGAGACAATGGCAAACAGAATGTACAACCACAAACGTTTCCGAAAGGACAGGATTTCTGGACTGCTGGTTACCAGCAGTGAAACGGTTAGCTCTGATAATCTGGATTCTATTTTATTCACTGTAGAATAAAATAACCTACTTTCGGTCCCCGCTAACAGGCTCTGTCAAAACCGATTGTAAGTGAAGTTAACTTTGCGAGTAAGTTGGGTGGAGATGGGAAATATCATGAAAACATCAACACAGATTTGAGAAACATGCACTTACTTGATGCTCGTGTTTGTCAAATGTTTGCCCACACACTACACATGGCATTTCTCAAGCTTATTCACAAACTTGCAAATGCTGGGTACCCTATTCAGTCAATCAAACCGGTACATATCTTGGGCCGACGTACACACACACACACACACACAAATACAAACAGAACAAGAATCAATCACATACGGATTGGATCGCGCCAACGTAAAACCGTTCCGTCAACATGGTCACATAAATCCACCACATGTTGCTTCCGGTCCTCCTATTCCACTGTTCTCACACTGTCGCCTCTCAGGCTAGCCACGTATTGGTGCACTCATTTTTATCCGCTTGGTAACCGATATTAGAGCAAGCAGACTCATCCACGGAATGGCACGTACTCAATCTCCGTCTCATATTGCACAGCAAATGGACTGGACTCACAGATCCCGGTCTCCGTCCTATCTCCTCGTATAAGTATTGATTCGTTAGTTAAAACAAAAACACTTACCACACTCAAAGTATCTACTTAAATCCACGTGTGATGTATTCCATGTTTTACTCAAATTGATTAGTTTGTATTCCTAGAACAATACAAAACTTGTGCAAAGTTGTTCGAAACCCGAGTAGCAAATTTGGAATAATCCGTTTGATTGTTCACAGGTACCAGGTGCTGTTGATGGTTATAGGTGCGGGTTTCACTTCTTGGGAAATCGGTAATTCCTCAATGGTTGAATGCATTTAATTGTGATGGAAATATTTGTGTGATGACCGACAAAGAGCACCGGATAGCTGTTTCGTCCAGTTTGGAACTCGTTGACAGTGCTTACTTTCTGTGTCAGGATCGAACAATGAATCTTCGGGTGGAGACTGTAAACCTTTAGCCCTGAGCTACACGATCCCCAAAGAATGAAACCCACACCCAAAACCATCAACAGTGCCTGGTGTCTGCGAACGATATATATATATATATATATATATATATATATATGGATGTAAACAAATAGACGAATAATAATT